AAGTTCTTCTAACTTTGTGTCCGAACATGTAAACCTTGATCTAATTCTCTTTGAGTGTTGAACAGGATTGCAAGTCCAAAAATCAAAAGAATCACTGGTTCGCACCAGATTCCCGGTCTCAGGTTCCGTTCGTGAACCAGAACATTCCTCAATATATTATAATTATTTTTTTATCAATCAAATAGTTTAAGAAATAATTCAACTTATAGCTGCTAAATTGCCCGTTCTACTGAAAATATTTAAAGTCGTGAATATTTTCGCATAGAAATTGCGGGCTACATTCGAAGCTCTTCCCCGTTTTGGGCATCTGCCAAATATGATTAGATATATCCAAGGTTTGCCGCGCCCTAAAAAATTATTTATGATTAGTTGCAACTTAATTGAAATGCCATTTTGAGCAGTTTGCAGCCTTGTTGGAAAGATGAATTGGTTTATTTATGCTCATATGACGAAAATTGAAGTCATTTGTATAAATAGAATAATCAAGAAAATTCCTGTCTGTATAAATAGAAATTCTATTATTTCTGCAATTAACTTAATTTGAAACTACCTGATTTAATGAAATATTTATTATGCTTATATTATTAATGCCTCGTTTCCGAAAATCATTTACCTTTTACCTCTGGCTTTATTTCATTTCAAAAAAACTTGCATTCTGATGTGCCAGTGTTGAGAAATTTGTGAGAATATCATCTATTTTTATTGAGTTGTGCTAAGCGCATCCAGAAAAGCATCGCAATGTGGTATATCCGAATCAACTTGTTCTCTTTAAGATTAGGTTGATTGAACTAAATCGAATGCTTATAATTAAATTCGATTCAACTTAACCTATAAATCTGGCAGTCTTTTCCTTTCTGGACTTCAATTTGGAAACTTAGCTATACGATGGACTTGATTCCTTGATCCGTTCATATGACAGCTCATTCATCTATTGAGTGAATCATTAATGAATCATTTTTCAAACTAAAAGAGCGTGGTAGTAAGCCTAGGAACTTTTTGTTATTCTCTAGAAGATTTTTCCCAAGTAATTTTTCATTTTAGAGGAAGAGGTTTTATAGACTATCGTCAGTTGTTGTTTCTTCTCAACTGGGAATCCTCGATCTTAGTCAGATGCAGATCTGATATATGATATATGTTTTGCTGATCATTCTGAGGGCAATTGAAGATTTCACTGCATGCCTTTTCGGATTCGTCTTTATTGTCTCTTTATAAGTCGTGCTGTCGTGTTGTTGGGCCCGACAAAAATTTGCATAGTCGTCGAGAGAAAGTGAAACCGAAACACGTTTCCGTGTTAATGCGAGGTATTGTTCCCAAAACTGAAGTGTTTTCCAAATGATCTCAATGACTTTTGGCATCGTTTAAGAAATTTTATATTAACCGGAGTTAAAATAAAATTTTGTTTTGTGGGAACCTTCGGAATTTGCAGAACTATGGCCCTTTAGATAAAAACAATCATTACGGTTCCTGAACATAACCAAATTATCTTTTCTTTGTCTCAAACGAAATCCAATCTCTAAAAAGCCTGATGATAATGTTTTTATGATACGATAATATATGATTTTCTGGCAGAGGGAAACGTTTAGCGTGGGCTTAAACTTAAATGCAAAACTATATAAGAGTTCGAAAAAGTCGAGAACGATAAAAACGATAAGCAGACTGATTGTTTTTATATTTTAAATTTTCTGAATATAATAAGAATTCGTTTATCGGCGTTTAGAGTTTAATTGTCTTTTATTCAAAGTACCTCAAATCTCAAATAGCTTAACATGGTGATTATTGTTATTATTCTTGTCAATATAATTATTAATAATATTTGTATTAATGTCATTATTATTTTTACTATATTGTTATAGCTATTACTATTATTATTATTATTATTTTTATTATTGCTATTATTATTATTATTGTTATTATTATTATTATTATTATTATTATTATTATTATTATTGCCATTATTATTATTATTGTTATTATTATTATTATTTTTATTATTATTGTTATTATTATTTTTGCTATTATTATTATTATTTTTATTATTATTATTATTTTTATCTGCATTGAAATCATATTATAATTTATTTATTTATTTCGCTTGCACATACGCTCCTTCGCAGATTATGTAAAAGCACTTGTCAACACTGCAAATGAGTGTTGTAATATGATAAATGACGTTCGCGTGCAATTAAATCAAATAAATCAACAAAATTTCGGAAATGTGTAATCGTTGGAAAAAAAAAAAAAAAAATAGAAAAAAATTGATTGCAAAGAAGCGCCCAACCGCACAGTGTCTTGCATTGTGTGCAGCACCCCCTCCCCCCCTCCCACTCGCCCTTCTCTCTCTTGCTGCGCGCGCCACACACACGCATACATATGTATGTGTGTGCTGTGCACTGATGCAACATGAAAATGCATTGCGCATGTTGCGCATTGCGTGTTTTGCTTTGCTGCTCGCTTTTGTTGTTGTTGTTGTTCTTCTTCTTCTTATTGTTGTTGTTGCGGCAACTGTTGCTGTTTGTTGTTTGTGGGCTGCTCTTTGTTTTGCTGACTTTGGCAGCTTGCGGCAGCTGTGTGACTAATCGCGTTTGGCAGTCGACGTGCCGCGCACGCGTTTTGCATGCGTTTTTTGCCGCCCGCAACTATCGCAGCCAAAACGCAGCGCGCTGTTTCCAGCAAATGGCGTAAAGTACACAGCGATAGAGTTTATTGCGAATCTGAGCAAAACGCATTGCACAGCAGCAGCAGCAGCAGCAGCAGCAGCTTTATCAGTTTCGTTCGACGTCGCTGCCGCTGCCGCAGTCAGCGTCGCCGTCTCCGTCGCAGTCGCTGTTAATGCAATTTGAAAAGTCGCGCGCGTAAAACAATTTTGTCATCAGTTTGCATGGAACCACACACACACAATTACACACTCACACACACACACAGGCATATGCATGTATGCATACATACACACATGTGCATTATTTCCATTTCCATTTCCATTTGACTTTATTTATGCAGTTTATTTTCTCGCTCTGATTTGCTTGACACTTTTTTGCTGCACACAAATTTCTCTTTTTTTTTTTTTTATAAGTTTTTTTATTATCTTTGTTAATGCAACACAAGTAGCCGCTTGATTGACACTTGAGCTGCCATTACACACACAGAACTATTCGTGTGTGTGTGTGTGTGTGTGTGTGTGTGTTTTTAAGACTTTCTTGTGGCAAGTTAAAATAACTTAATTGACACAATATTAACATTAATTTATTATGATTTACTTCTATATCTTTAATTTCTATTTTTATTGTAATTTCTTTTCTTAATTAGCAATAATATTATTTAGCTAATAATATTACAATAATATAATAGTAATAATAATGTAAAATAATTATTATATTATGTTTATTTTTAAATTCTATTTATAATTATATATTTTTTTTAATATATATCGAATTAAATATATATGAATAAGATATTTAATGTATTTAGGTACATAGGTGCATACTTTGTGGTTTTGTCTTCTACTTGAAAATGCTTTCACATTATTGTTGTGTTGCATAAATGATATATTCACTCATTCATTTGTTAATGTACAACATTTCCCCTCTCCACGGCACTTGCAGCATCCTCAGGTTCAGGTTATTTTCCGCCCGAGATTAGCTGAGCAATAGGTGACCCACTGAGTACACATAAATTGCCATCAAGTAATGCCACAGATGACAGTTAGCTCTTATCAGTTACGCCAAGTTCTTATCAGACATTGGCCGGAGCGTTTTCTTGGACTATATCTGATTCGCTGCTCGTACAGCGATGACTCATCGACTCATCGACTCATCGTCATTTGGCTGTCATATAGAAATTGAAAAAGATTTCTGTTTAGTTTGAGGCACTGACAGAGCGTAGCTGCCACGCGGCTGTCTTCCTTTCACATAACTCCAATCAGACTTCTTTTGCAACTGCCACAACTTGTGGGTCGCTGTTGCGCTTAATAAAATTCATTAAAGAAGCGAGCCACAACAACAATCATAATCATAATACCAAACGACATTCTCATTGGCCTCTTGCAGTGCAATTGAAAAGCAGCGACTGCGACGGCGACTGCGACGTCGCGTCGCAGTCAGCCTCGTTTGGCAGGCATATCTGGTATTTGGCTTTACTGGATACTCGGGAACAGCCCTTTTGCTGTACGACCCGCAGAAAAAGCGGAAATTGAAAGCAAAAAAAAAATGTATTTCATATAATATAAAGTTTTCTGTAATGTCTCAAAGTCGAATGTGGAATACGCTTTGCGAGAGAGTGTATAGGGTAAGGGTTTTATATAGCAGATTTAACGTGCTCAGCTGCTCAACTTATGCTTCGAACCAGCTTCCTGATAAAGTGTGCGACTTGCTTGACATAGTTTGAGATATATATTATTAATTCCTCTAAAGAATTAAAGCGAAAGCCCCTTGAAAATATATAAATCAATATATTCGCCCTTATATATATAAATATTCTTATTCCAATGACAATTTCCTTAATGTGTGCGTGGAAATAATCAAAGGGTAAACCCTTGAAAGTCCTACCCGCCTCCCAAACCAAGTGAAAAAAAATTCTTCTTGTACGTATAGAGATTGATTTTTTTTATAGAAATTTTTCTGAAATTTTCATTTCATTTTGAAAATCGAAAGAATTAAGGAAATGAAAGAAGCCCCCCCATCCAAGTGAAAACAAACTATCTTGAACTATCTAATATATACTTACATCTTTTTCAACTTATACATAGAAACGTTTTTTTTTAATGACTTTTTCTGAAAATTTCTTAATTTCTTAGTTTAAGAAATAAGCTCCTTGACAGTCCCACTCCCACTGCCTTCCCCAGGTGAAAGCAAAGTATCTTAAAGTTCATAAATCAGACACATATGTATGTGTGTGTGTGTGTGTGTAGGTGTGTGTGTGTGTGTGTGTGTGTGTGTGTGTGTGTGTGTGTGTGTGCTTTGTAAACATCATTATCGCATTTGCTTTAAGGTCAGGTGTTACGATATTCATTTCAAATTTGTATTTTAACAAATGAGGTATTTTGGAAATTCTCAATTTTTGAAATTCTCGATTTTTTGAAACTCGTTTGAAAGATAGTTAACTAGCTAACCGTTATAATAAGTAGAAAAAGGTATTAAAAAAACGCCCAATTAAGAAGTTCATCATCAACCGTTAAAGCAATTCAAAGCGAGAAGGGAGACGGCATCATTGGACGTTGTTCTCAACCCAGCCCCGCCCTAATTCACCAATCCCCTCACCAAGCAATCCCTCCACCCAGCAAATCCCACCCCCCAGCCCCCATCCATCCGTAATTCAATTGAGTATCATCCCGATATATTGTTGTACTGATATATGTATTAGCTAGCCGAGGATCTTGTTAATTGCAAGCGGTAAGCGAAACGAATAGAAAACTAAAGAGGAATAAACGGATTCGCACAGGCTCGCCAACGATTGTGTGGCAAAGCCAAAGATTTCCCGAGGCCAGAATTTCGCTTTAATTGACAAACAATAAGTAAGCAGCCTCAAGATTCAGCCATTTGGCATAAGCTATCATCAGAGGATGACATCGACACAGCTGCAACAGTCAACGGCTGGACCGGTTGCACCGAAACTAACCCTGGCAACCGCACAGGCATCGCAGCCGACTGTGGCCATGCCAGCCGTGGCCGTGGAGGCGCCACCGGCGGAGCCCATCTATGGCACTGTGATACCCAATCGCGTCTTTGTCGGCGGCATTAGCCGCGACACAACTGAATCGGATCTGATGATCGCATTCAGTGCCTATGGGACGGTGCGCAGCACCAAGATCATTGTGGATCAGGATGGCTTCAACAAGGGCTACGGCTTCGTCACCTTTGAGACGGAGGAGGAGGCGCAACGCCTCCAGTCGGTTGGCAAGTGCGTCATCTTGCGCAATCGTCGCCTGAACATTGCGCCGGCCTTCAAGAAGCAGCCGATCCGGCCCAAGCTACAGCCGATCATCGAGACAAACGGCACCGTTTACTTTACCACACAGCCGCCGCCACCGCCGCCGCCGACGGTCAACACAATACCCATCGAGCAATATGCCACCGCCACATACGGTCCGGCTGCCCCAGTTGCCGAATACACCACCGCCGCCATGCCCACCATATATCAGCAGGCGCCGGCCGGCGTCCAGTACCAGCCAGTCTACCAATACTATAGTGTGCCGGTCAATGTGCCAGCCGTTTGGCCCCAGAACTATTATCACGATCCGCAGGCATCCAATTCGCAGACATCGATACCGCAGCAGACCGCCTGGGAGTTCGATGGGACCAACAGCAGCAGCTGGCGCTCAACCTAGTCAAATGTGGCGTGCATGCTATTTCTGTAAATATCTGAATTCTCAATTCCAACGATTGCTTCACTAATCCTCCAGACAGCCCATATATATTTTCATTTTCACGCAAGTAATTACGAAAGTAATTACAATTACTTCAGTAATTCGATTTTAATTGGGAACTTCTTGCCAAATCTGTTGACCTAAAGTATTGGGGATATATATATTCTAAAATTTCTTAATTCCCAATTTTAACGATTCTACTCGCCATCTTCCTATTGCTGATAGTACGTATATCTGAGTTAGCCGGATACTATATCATATAGCCGCTATATTGATCGAAAATTATTAGATTCACTTCATTTCTTTTTAACATCGGGTAACTATAACATAGAGCCGTAGGGCTGATTATTTCGTGGTTGTCTGGCAACCAATTACTAAAGTAATTGTGATTGGAATTGAGTAATTGCATTTAATTAGCAACTGTAAATGTTAAATGCCTGCAGCTACTCCTCGTGCAATACAAAACCAACAACTGGATTCAACAAAATGGAAGTAAATGAAACAAACAGAAGAAGAAGATGATGATGAAGAAGAAGAAGAAGTAGAAGCAGACATAATACCCAAGCCAGAATAAACGACGAACACTTGAAGATGAGCGACTAACAACGAAGAAAAAATACACTACAAAAAGAAACCGACAGCAGCTGCGCAACTGTGTCGTTAGACACATATGTGTGTATATATATATATATATATATATATATATGTATGTATATATATGTATGTATAGTGAGGTTAGAATATTTAGGCGCAATCGGGGTCAAATCGAACAGATATATAGTCAGAATAGACTCAAGATTCCGCAGATATTGAAGCAATACAGATACAACAGATACACACACAGGCATGTATATACACTTACATAATCACACACACACACACACACACACACCCACACACACACACACGCACATACACTCACATTTACATACATACACACAACAATACACACACGCCAGCATACTTAGATGCAGACATGCAGGCTTACCAACACTTACACTCACACTCACACACACACACTCATACACACACATATATATACCCCCTTTTGCCCTGTGCTTCAATTGTAGCCCAAATATTCGTCTAGAACCCAATTGCATCCATTTAACTCAAGAACAAAACGCATATTCGGCTATCAATGTTTCGACTTCCAATATATGTATATAAGTATATACATGTATATTGGCGAAAGGCTCTACAAATTCTACACAAGACCTCCAAATTATGCAGCGTGATCATTTTTGTATTAGAAACCCCCCCCCCCCCCCTTCCTATACTCCCCCCTCACATTTTCGGCCAAGGTCTCCAAAATTTGTTAGGTTATGTGTGTGTACAATCAATTGTTTAACAAAATTTTAAGTTTTAAACTATATTGGAGCTATGCTATAAGTAAAAATATAAAAAAAAATCGACAAAAAAAAAATGGTTACAAATATTATGTAACATGCTATTTGATTTTGCTAAGCATACCCTATGAACACGGCTAGGGTATAGGAACTTGGGTTCACATTTAACTGAAAATTATTTAAATATTATGCAATACATTTTTTTTATAGATTTTTTCATATACCATAAGGTAGTTACATATGTGGTGATAGAAGTGTGATACCCTTGCAAAGGGTATTTGCTGCTGTTGTATCTGCTGGATACATTTGCTTAGGGCGCAGGCGGCGCTGCTGCTGCGCAGCTGGCGCGCTGCTGCCAATAAGAACAGCAACAACACCAGGGAACATGAACAACAACAACAGGAGCAACAATTGCGTTCATTGTGCTTAATTAATTTAGTTCAAAGATCAAGCGGCCGCGATGCCGTCGCGATTCTTCATGCGGTTCGTGTGCGCCCAACTGCCAGTTGCCAGCCTCAAGCTACCCTGCATTCATTCCCATATGAGGCATGTGTTGCATGTTGTTGTTGCATGTGGTTGTTGTTGTTGTTGTCATGCAGCTGCATTTAATGTGCAGGTTCTGCTGCTGTTTATTTGTGCAGCGTTCCAGTTATAAACTTCTACTTTATTCGGCCCGATCTTTGAACACGGCCCACATGTCCAGATGTTGCAACCGCCTCGGGCCACGCCCGCGCTCCCGCTGTCATCGCATTCATGCAATTATGTTGCAAATTGGTTTCGATCTTGGCTTCTGTTTAGCCGCAGGTGTTGATAGCTGTATCTATGCCGTTAAGCCGCAGTTCTCGACCCTTTTACGGCGCCGCCCCTTGCCCTCGCCCAGTTGCTGTCCACACCCAATCGCCCGCAGTTGCGTTATGCTTAATTAGGCAATCGGCGTTGAGCATAAAAAGCGTCTTTGTCGCTGCCACACCCCACCCCCACCTTATGCCAACACACACACGCACACACACACACACACGCACACACACACACACTCACACATATGCGCAGACAGACACATGTTGTCCATGTACATTACACACATTTGGCTTTTGAGTTGTGCCTCCCCAATGTGGATCTGTTGCTTACACTAGACAACAAAAACTTATTTTCCTGTTGCATATACATCTGCATATATGCATGCACATTTATATATATACATATATTTTGATATTCAATTCGTTTATATATGTACAGTATATATATACCTTAATACGATTTTTGGCCCAATCCCCAATAAAATTCTAGTTTTAAGTATTTATTTGATATAAATAATTTTTTTTATTGTTTTTTTGTGATTTTGTTGCATGGTGTTTGCAGCGTCCGCGCCGTCCGCTGGGTGACCGGGTCGACGTCGGCTTTGACGTTGCCGTCAGCGTCGGCGTTGGCGTCGGCGTCGACAGCGACAGCGACAGCGACCGCCACCCAAGAAAATGCGCGGCGGCATCTTGACTTCAATTTTAGTTGATATTGTGTTAAATTCGCGAACGCGTCGCGCTCGCAGCTGGACTTATAGGACCGGCAACGGTACCGGTACAAAGGAAAATCTAATTGGAACACATTAGTATTCCAATTTGAAATCAATTTCGTTTTCGTTTTCCGCCGCGCTCTGCGCTTATCATAAACAAAAATAACGTGCTTCTTTTTGGCTTTTTATTTTTGTTGTTGTTATTATTTTTGTTGTGCATATTTAAATAAGATTGTGAGCGAAAAAAAAAAAAAAACACAAATTAAAACGTTTTCATTTCATTTGCAAATGCAGTAAATCGCATGATTGTTCACGTATATATATATATATATATATATATATTAATTTAGCTGAGCTGCCGAATGCCGCAATAGATCGGAGAGCATTATATGGAAATCAAGCGAAACGCATAGGCAACAGCTCTATATAAATACATACAAATACACATACATATGTATTTAGTATATAGAAAAGCCAAGCCCCGTTTTACATGTGAATATATTGTGAACATTCAAACACGTATTCATATATGTTTGAATGGATGATTCACTTTTATAGTCAATTCAATTGTTTTAATTTCCATACATGAAACCCTCTCTCTCTCTCTCCCACTCTCTCTCTCCCTCTCTCTCTCTCTCGCCTGCGCTAGCAGACCGAGGTCAATTGGCTTGGCTTCTGCGAGATAAGCGTGTTACTTCTAGGCTCAAAGAGCCTATCTCACAGATATCTCTGTCTATATATGTGTACATATATGTTAGGTGTCATTCAAAGAGACGTCGCCAAGCCTGGGCTTTCAATTTGACAGGTTCGAGTCGCGCTTGACCCGCCGTTGCCGCCTAAAAGTATGCAAGTTCAAAAGTTCACAACACAATGCCAAATTTTATGTGCACAAACAATATTTATTTATTGTGAGAACTTGTTGATATTCCTGTTATTGTAAGCCTGATTGATTCAGATGTAAAAGAAATATATATAACATATATGTTATATACAATTCTCTGATTTGAGTAAGCGGAAATCAGCATAGTATTCTTAAGCCTCACATTAGAGAATGCAAGTTGATGATTGATTGATAGACTGACGATCGACTGATTGATTGATTGGTTCATTGAATGATGATTGTTTGATTTGTTAATTGATAGATGATTGCTGGATTGATTCACTACTGAAAAATTACTCATGATGAATAGATGACTGCTTGAGAAATGCTTGATAGATTGATGAATGATTGATTCATGCTTTATTATTTGTTTAGTTAATGATTGTTAGAAATTTGACTGTTTGACTGATTATTAATATATGATTGATGAATCGATTCAGGATTGATAAATTATTGATGATTGTTATATGATTGATTGACTTATGATTGATAGATTGATCAATTATTGATCAATAGTTTATTGATTGATGGATTGATTATTGATATATTATGGACTAATTTATTATTGAAAGATGCTTGATGGATCCATGATTAAAAGATAAATGATTGTTGATTTTTGACTCATAGATGATTGACTGAAAACTGGTAAATGATTGATTGATTGATTAAATACTGACATTCACTCAATTCATGACTGATTGCTTGATTGATTGGTGAATTTTTCCTGATTCATTGATGGATTAGTTGATGATTGACTGATTGTTTGATTGATGATTTATTTATTCACGCTTGATTGATTCTGGATTGCTAAATGATTGATTGCTGATTAAGTGCTGATTGATTGATAAAAAATAATGTAACTACATACAACTTTTCCACATTTATATGCCACATTTGTTCTCACCTCGTAACAATTGCCTTTGCATCGATCGAAACAGTTGTTAATCCACCTTGGCTTTGTCCCAAGCACCTGACAGGTAGTCCACATTCCATTGCCCTAGAACAGCGGCACCTACGAGGCGTAGGTGAGGCCGAGGGCGAGTCCAGCGGCCGCTTACGCAACGTCAGCCTTAACCAGTTTCACAGTTTCTCAACTTCTCAGTTGCTCAGTGTCTCAGTGTCTCAAGGGTCGCCGCGCTGTTGCGCACTGTCGGGGCATTTAATTTGAGTGACGCCCCGGCAGGCCCCTCTAACCCGGGACCCGTTGGCCAAGCCATTTGGGGGCGACATCTCGACATGCTTTGCTGCCCCGCTCTGAGTCATCGCTCAAGCAAACAGCTCAAGTATGTAATATAAGGCGAACTCAGCGAGTCTCCAGAAGCAGCGGCAGCAGTTGTTCATTTTAACCCTTATGTGGGGCTAAATATATTATAATTAAATATAAATTATGAATATTCAAATGAATGCATGTCAAAATTGACACCCAACTCTTCAATTTAGCTAGCAGATAATTTTATTGTTGAACATATGACAAATAGCGTGTTGCCAGCTTGTTAATATTAATACGAGGGCAGCACTGCAAAAAACGCAGTAATTTATTTTTATGCCACATACAAATAATCATATTCCTCTATTGTATTGTATTTTTTTTTGGTAAATTTTATCTATGTGAGCTTCTGTAGTACTTTTTATTACACTCCTCTACTTATCTATCAAAAGCTGTTGAGATTATCTAAATTATAAATTTATTTAAAGTAAATCGTTAGCGTACATTTTAAGCTGAGGTCGCTTTAACCGCGTGTAACAGCTTAAGGGTTAAGCGCAGAGAGCCTGCGTCAGAATTGTTGAGCAGCGACAGCGGCAGCGACTGCAGCAGCTAACTTATTATATATGTGCGTGTGTATGTACACGCTTTACACGCAGAGTGCAGCGACACTAACATGATCGCTCTCTGCACTTCTGTGTGCGTGTGCGTGTGTGTGTGTGTGTGTATGCGGGAGGAAAGGGTCACAAAGATAACAGCGCGTGCGCGCATGTGTGCAAGGGAGAGAGCGAGTGCAAAACGACATAAAGAGCGAGCGACTATTTGACAGTTGCCTCGCATCAATTAAAAGCGTATAATAGATAAAATGAATTGAAAACTGTGTTTTTTTTTTTTTTTGTTTCTTGTATTTTTGGTGGCCGTTGTTTAAATAAAAAAAATAATAAACGATGATGCAGCATAATAATAATAACAAACAGTGCGATAAACGCGTGTGATAGTGAAAGAGCGAAAGATAGAGAAAGAAAGAAGAAGGGAGAGTGAGAGACGGCGAGTAAACGAACCGACAAAGCAAAACGAAATGCCGCAACAAGTGGAAATGAAAAGCAGCAAACGCAACAGCAGCGAAATCGGCGACAACAACAAAAAGCAGCACATTTCCAATCAGAACGAGGCGACATACACGCAGCTGCGCAGCAAGCGCAGTCGCCAACAGCAGCAGCAGCATATCTATGAGAATCTGCCCGTTTCGGCAGCGTCGCAGCAGCTGCGCAAATACTTTCGCCGCGAGGTGATCTACGAAAATCTGTGCCGCGGCTGCGGCTATGGCGTCTTTGCAGCCCAAGGTCGCTACTGTCACTTCTGTCAGTGCATTGTCAGCGGCAGCGTCGTCGCAGCGCTGCAACAACAGACGCAGCCGCAGCCGCAGCCACAGTCGACGTCGCCAACCAACAGCAGCGAATGCAATATATATGAGAACATTTGTGAGCTCTGCCGCGGCATCTACAGCGACAGCGAACAATGTGAGTGTGCAACAAGTGCCACGCCCACATCAGCTCTAATTAACGAGAAGCCCCAGTTGCCAACGTCACCGCCACCGCCGCTGCTTTCGCTGCCGCCACAAGCCTTTGCCGCTGCTTCGGCCGCTGCCTCTGCCAAGTCTGGCAAATCGCGCACTTTGCTAAACTACTCGAAGTCGAGCGCTGCGACGCTGACGCGTCTCTTTGGCTCGCTGAAGCAATTGAATCGCTCCGGTTCGCTGCAGCGTCGCCTGTTTCAAAGGGAGGGCGGCGCTGCCAAGGCTGGCGTCGGCAGCGGCGGCTCCCTGGAGATCATTCACAATGTGGACGAAGTTTTTCGGACGCAGGAAACGTTCGATATGCAGCGCATCTGCGAGCTGAAGCGTCAGCTGCAGTGCAGTCGCAGCGATCAGCATATCTATGGCAGGCTGCGGGCCGAACGCGAGCCGCAGCCAGAGTCTGAGGCGGCGTCGACGCCAGCGCCAGCACCGGAGTCGCAGCCAGAGGAAGAGAGTGTAACGGATCTGGCACGCAAAAAGCCGCGCATTTCGCGCATGCGCCTGCTGCGTCAAGATGAACAGCAGCCGACGCCAGCAGCGACGTCAACGTCGGCGCTCTATTTAAATGAAAGCATATGCCAGTGGATGAACGCGCTGCGACGCGAGCTGCACAGCTACGAGGATGCAAACGGCGGCGTCGGCTGTCAACAGCCCAAAGCCGTACCGCCTGCCTACGAGCGAGAGCGAGAGCGGGAACGGGAGCGGGAGCAAGAGACAGATTCGGTGATGCTGCGACGCAACGAGGCAGTAGCCGAGGAAGCAGCAGTAGCAGCAGAGCCTGCGCTGCAGCAGCGTTTGGTAAACGATTTTAAGCGCAAGCTGCTGGCCAAGCGGGAGCAGCAGCAGCAGCAGCATTTCCAATTAGACAATCAATTGGAAGCCCAATTAGCGCCTCAATGCGAGGCGCTGCTTAACGATCGGCGTCGACGTCGCTGCGGCATCAATGAGCGCCACGATGCGGCCTTTGTTTGCGAATTTCTCAGCGGGTTGGCGGTCAGTGAGCAGGCAACGGCAGCCGAAACGTTTGAATTAACAGTTGCGCCTGCGCCGACGCAGGCGGCTGCGGCCACAACAATAGCAGCGGCAGCGCTGCTCGCAGGGCGTCTATCGCTGCCTCAGCTATGGCAGAGCGCTGCGCTTGCGGCCAGTCTGCACCGCAGCGTCATTTGCTTCTTTGGCTATGACAAATTACTGAGCGCCTTTTTGCATAGCAGCCAGCGTCGACAGCGACTGCGCAGCGTCGCTATTGAGCGCTGGCTGCGACGCTATCGCCGGCTCTGCGAGAGCGACAGCAACAGCAGCGCTGAGCGTGAGTCAGCGCTGCGGCAACGGCAACGGCAACGGCAACGGCAAAGACGACGCCTATTGGGGCCGCCGTCATTGGAGCTGGCAGTTGTGCCAGCGACGCCAGCGAGTGACGACGTAGCGGTCGTATGGCGTGTCGGCAGCGTTAGCGATACAATTGAGCAGAGCGAGAGCGAGATCGTGAGCGCGTGCGTGCGTGAGAAAGAGTGCGAGAGCGAGTCACAAACGCGATCGGTGTGTGGCAGCAGCAGCGGCGTCGTTGTCGGCAGCGTCAGTAGCAGCGCGCTGATGGCGGCACCCAAGCAAAGCGGCGACGCTCAGCGCTCCAGCTGCGACGACAGTGAAAACAATAGCAATTATAACAACACCAACAACAACAACAATAACAAGGAGCATGATAATGTCAGTCAGCAGCAGCAACAACAACAACTGCAACAACTGCAACAAACAATACAACAGGTCAATAGCCATTCCAAGCAAACAGATTTACAACAAATTACAAATTACAACAAAATTTAAAAAATATAATACAAATAACGAGCGACAACAACAACAACAATTTGGGCTCACTGCCAGCCGCAATTGAGGCGTAAATTAATATAAAAAAAAAAATAAAAAACATACAACGGTAGTTGTGTGTGCGAGTGAGCGAGCGAGCGCCACAGGCAGCGCGAGAGGGAGTCAGAGTGAAAGAGAGTAGAAAGCGAAAGACAATAAGAGCGAGCGAGCTGGCAACGAGCTGCAAACTGTAGCAAATAGCAAATAGAAAAACAACAACAACGAGACAAAAACCCAAAGTACACAATTGTTTTTTTTTTTTTTTTTTTTTCGGTGTATTTTCTTTTTGTATTAAAACTAAATAACATTAGGCACAACCCAAGATGGTTAGATAAATTAAATAAATTTAAAAAAATAAAAGAAACACAAAGTTGATTAGAAGCATAAACAAAAATATAAAAAAAATCTATATATATATATAATTATGCAAAAATACATACGCATGCGAGAATAAACTTCCAAGTATGTGCACATGTATGTAAAGATGTATGTATGTATGCATGTATAATTGTATACGTGACATACATACATAAGTATATTTTTTATGCCATTTTTTTTCTAATTATTTTGGGCTCGTTAAGTTGGAAGTCTATTTAAAGTGCAAGATTGAGAATAAAGTATTAAGTTTTTGTTCAGATTATCAGATACAAAATTAATTCACTATTTTAAAAAACTATAAGAATATTTTTCTTTATGAAAATTCATTTTTAAAAACTTTTTTTTAATAATTTCATTATCGAAGCTCATCAATTAATAAAAAAAACAAATCCTTTAGCATCGTTAAAAATAGTATTGTAAAGTATTGTATGGCATAGTGTAGTATAGTGTGAAAGAGTGTAAAATAGTTACTCTGTAACGAGTAATCACGCGTACTCGTTTTGTAAGCGCATGTAACGAGTAAACGATTTAATTGTATGTCGCATGTTAAAGATTAGATTGATAGCGATAAAGGTAAACTATTTTGCAAGGTGTTTTATATTGATATTATGCATGCAAATAATACCCAACATTTGATCGAAAAAGTAACGAGTTAAGTTTAAAAGTTCCTGTGAATTCTAATAATAATGCAGCGAGTAGCAAGGCGAGCAGCAAGGAATAATAATCGTATTGGAAATTGAAATAGCAAAAAGAAGTCACACAAATAAAATTAGATAGGAAAAGATTCAAGAGTTACCTATAAATATTAGTGATAATTGGTAACGAGTGCCCATGAAATTGTGAACAAAAACTGGCAGAAATCTGACTGTTTAATAAAGATAGTTCGAAAAAGAGTTTGCGTAGAGCGCACTCGCTATACTCGTATTCTACTTGTCTGCAAAAACAAACGAGTAAAACAAAACGAGTAACGAATTATAAAAACAAACGAGTTCTTCATATTCTAGTTGGAGTAATTCATGTGCAATGCTAAAAATTCGAGTTGGAATCTTTTTTTCTGTGGCTGTGAAGTGCAAATCCAGAGAAACCATTTAACGAATTCCTTGTTTCTATTTTTTGTTGTTGTGTGTGAGCCCAAATTGTTGGATATCATCTATGGAAAAGCTGCTGTTGTCTATATAAATCTGTGTCTTCGGAATGTGCGGCTGTGACAACAAAGTTCTTTTTTTTTTTTGTTTTTAAATATTTGTAGAATTGTGTGATTAAAGTGCGACGTCCCGCCCCTCAGGTGCCGGTGCGTAATCCCAGCACATCGCTTACGAAGCCACGAAATGAGATTGACAATGAGCATGAGAATGCCAACAACAACAATGCGCTGGAAGAGACAGCTGGGCAGAAGAATGAGGATGAGCAAGAGCATGCACAGGAGGAGGCGGAGGAAGAGGAGGAGGAGTCCATTTATCAGACCATATGGCAATTTAAAACCCTGGAGCCAGTGCCAGACGGCAATGATGAAGACTTTGAGATCATCGCAGCGCCCGACGCGGGCAGCGATGATGACGCAGACGTCGACGTCGACGTTGACATCGATGTCGAAACGTTAACTCTGCAAGCAGCCGCAGCATTTGCTGCCGGCGCACGTCACAAGCTGACTAAGCAGGCGACGCCAACAGCGTCGCCGCTGCCGTCGCCAACGGCGTCCATGGATCAGGGCGCCTGGGAGACGGACGATGAGTTCATGTTTGCCAAAGCGGACGAACAGCAGCAGCAGCAGCAGCAGCGGGAGCAGCACCCAGAGACTCTTAGCGTGGGCAGCACAGTGACAAATAGTACGGCAACGCTTGGCTCCATTAGCAGCGCCGGCAGCAGCAGCATTGGCAGCGGCAGAGATGTGAATGTAGCGACTTCGTCGGCAACGCAGACGCTGACGCATCCGCTGCTGCGCAACATTTGCATCTTCTACAGTCTCAAGGAGCCGCAGAAATATAGCGCCATCTTTTACGACTATCAGCGCTCGCAGATACACCAGCGCTTCATGACGCGCATACGACGCCCGGCGCCGCCGCTGCCGTCAATAGCGTCAGCGTCAGCGTCAGCGTTGACAGCGACTGCGAAGGCGACTGCATTTGGGCCTGCAGCTGCAACGGCAGCTATGTCGCCCAGCAACGATGACAGCGGCTGCAGCTGCGAGGCTGAAAGCGAGGATCTATCGGATCAAATACTGCATCCACTGAAAGAAGATTGGGCTCTGGCCGTTCTCGCAGCGGCAGCGAGCACCAAACGGGGCGTCGCTGCACGCGCCGGCCGCAAGCTGCGCGTACGTTCCAGGGCCCGCCTGCTCGTATCCACCTCGGTGCTGGCGTGGCGTGAGCAGCTCCAAGATGTCAACTGTTGTGAGGATGAGGAAGATATGGTAAGTGTAAAGAGCGCAACCCAACTCTCTCTCCCTCTCTCTCTCTCTCTCTCTCTCTTATCCCCTTTACCCCCTTACCCAGTTGCTCAATTCAATGGGAACCGCAATTGCATTGTTTTTGCTGCGGCCCCATCAATTAAACGCTGCAAATTGCCAGCACTCTATATGTGTGTGTGTGAGTGTGTGTGTGTGTGTGTGTGTGTGTGTGTGTGTGCATGTGTGTAACGGTTGATTCGAATGTTTGTTTGTTTTGAGTTTGTGCCGTTTGCTGGGGCGCGCCAGAGCCTCAGTCGCGGGTACTTTACAGTTTTGGCGTTTGCATACAATTTTACACACAGCAGCAAACAATGCAAAGGGGAACAAATGCACTTAAGTTTTCCGAATGCCCTTTCCGATAAAAAATTCAACAAAAAAAAAATAAAGAAGAGAAGTAGAAAATGTTACAACAATTTTTTAATTTATTGAAAATTATTTGGAATTGTTTTGCCGCTAATATTATGGCATAATATTGTTAAAGTATATTATTAATATATATACTTTTTAAATAAAAGACTTTCGAACTTAAAAATCAATATATTTAAGTGTCTGGAGTCAATAGGTTTTCGGGTTCAATTTGTTGACCATATTGGGAGGAAAACCAATTGAGTTATTAATAAAAAAAATGAATTCTAGCCTTAATCTTACATATATAAGCTATTTGATTTAGTTGATACAAATTTTTAATTATATATATTAGAAATATATATTAAAGTATATGAAATTTGAGACGTAATACTGCTTATGTTTCATTCGAAATCGGTACGTGTAGTTTTTCAAGTTTATTTGTTATTACAATTTTGTATAGTATTTAGACAAATTTATATGCTTGTTTAACTATGAGTAGAATTTTTGTTGATATATTATAGTGGCCCGTTCTACTGAAAATATTGCAAGTCCTAAATATTTTCTTATAGAAAGTGCGGGCTAAATTTGTTGCCTAACCAAGATTGACAATTGTCAAAAAAAGTAAGTCAAGTCCAAGCTTTTCATGCTTTGCGACTATGTCTCAAAAGTTTTTAGCTTTTAAAAATATGTTGGCTTTTTTTTCAAAAAGTTTTTGTATAGGGTTCGTTTGGCTTATACTAAAAAGTATTTGAAAATAAATAGATGCGTACATAATTGGCGATTCAAACAAGAACTAAGCTATTTTAAGGCAATCATATCATTAGCTATACTCCGTAGGATTTCAAGTTTTTGTACGATAGTGTATTCTGGTCGGCGACTCGAAAGTTCTTGTGCTTTTCGCGTTAGTCGTAATTTTATTGCGCTTTGTTTATATCATATGCTGTTGTTGTTTTTATTTTGATTTTATTTTGTATTTTTTTTTTTCTTTTGCATAATGTATTTTTATTTATTTGCCTCTCACGTTTTTCTTTGCATTTTATTTGTTGTTGTTGTTGTTGTTGTTTTATTATTTCCCTTTTGCATTTGCTGCATTTGCCGCTGCATGAGAAATTCTATGGAATTTGACTGAGAGACTCGGTACCCCAAAAGTTGATTCACATATCGTTCCCTTCCTCTCTTCTACTCCTTCTACTCTCCTACTCCTTCTTGTCTCCATCGGCGAGACCCTCGCTCCAACGCCCCCCGCTCTGCTATCAGCGACAATTATTTTAGCATACACAAGTCGGCAAGTTTTTAGGTTTTTGCCAACAGCTTTTGGGGAACCGGTTTCTGATTTTTATGCTGTCGTTAATTTTCTGCCCCATGCACCCCTCTGCGGAGCAGCGCGCCGGCCTCGTCATCGCCAGCGTATTTATCAGCATTTAATTGGTTAATCATTAGTCAAATATTTTTGTAAACTCGAGTTTGAGTTCGAGTTCGAGTTCTGCTTCAACCGCGGGCTCGAGACCGGGGTTTGTTCTGTGCTCACCTTTTACATAATTATAGGTGGGCTGCGCCTCTTGTAAGCCGTCGACAGAGCGGATTTTCCCTAAATTTTTTCATTTTTTTTCAGTTTTCGTTATTTTTATCGTAAAAAACGGGCCTTGGTTTCCATAAAAAAAGGGCCGGATATTACGAGCAGAGCTTGGGAATTGCTTAAAATATTGCTTATCGCAATGCTCGAAAGCTGAGCTCTTATTTTATTTTTATGGCTAAACCAATGTCACGTACCCAACATTATCGGATTGGCTCTATCGAAATGTATAAATTTATATTTGCATACGTTTTTTATACTTATTTTTTAAAACATATTTTTAGAATTTGTTTTGTTGATTAGATTTTAAAGATTGGTTTCTAAAATATATGTACAAATAAGAATAGTACCTTATTGGAATACAAAAACACTTTTCAATATATTATTATTATGTATTGGAATATATATTGGGCATTCAAATTCTTTGAATCTCATTTATGTTTGCATAAAGCAAAAAACAAGAAACACTGCTGATAAGTTTGGCCCTGACTGAGTATTTGTTGCGAGTGCTCATGGCTTGGCTTCAATTTGAACGGGCTGTGTTTTGAAATCATCTCATGTATGTATGCATAGAGCTTAGATATAGCTAAGGTTAGCTGCAATATCATTGAGCCGAGCGGATGTTTGGCTATTGTGTTGCATTGACTTTGCCTACGCAATGTTAATTCAACACACAGTTCGACACTTGGCAACAATTGGATATGTGGCTTATAGACAATCTCTTGGCACCATTAACACGGTGTCCATGAGACATCTTATGAGGGCCCAGTTGATAACCGCAACGCTTAAAGCAATATACCTGTAAAAAATAGATGTGCAAATAACACTTTAAAAATACGCGTAAAACAAAAAGTCCAGCGGGTCAAATATGTCGCCTTACTTTCAGTTATGTTATTGCTCCTGAATCAGATACAGATGCAGATACAGATACATATACAGATGCAGATACAGATACATATACAGATACAGATACAGATACAGATACAGATACAGATACAGATAGATACAGATACAGATACAGATACAGATACAGATACAGATACAGATACAGATACAGATACAGATACAGATACAGATACAGATACAGATACAGATACAGATACAGATACAGATACAGATACAGATACAGATACAGATACAGATACAGATACAGATACAGATACAGATACAGATACAGATACAGATACAGATACAGATACAGATGTTGCCACATGCCAAGGCTAAATCAATTAAATATTAAAAAAAATATATAAATAATAGAATAAATAAATTCAACAAAGCAAAAATAACAACAATAACAAGGGCGGAAAAATTGCTCGTGCAGCGCATTTAATATTCTATTTTCGTTTGCCGCACAGATTCAGATACAGATACAAATGCAAAAGCTACAAAAGATACATATGATTATGTGTATACAGCCAGAGATACATTTGTGCGAGTTTGTAAATTTGCGAGCTGTTGGCCAAAATCAGCGCAACTAATGCCGCGCATATTCTAAACATGCCCAAAAGCGCGCTCAGCGGCAGCTGCCTCACTAATTGCAAAAACAATGACAACAGCAACAACAGCAACAACAAAAGCAACAACAACAACAACAACACAAGCAGCAACTACGCAATATTTGCTTTTTTGTTTATGCACAAACAAACAAAAGCAACAATAACAAATTAAGCAAAATAAAATTAGAGTTTAATCGAGTGCTGTTATACCCTGTACCCATTAAATGGCTCGAAAGGTGTATAATGTTGCATAGAGACTGTATGCAACAGCCAGAGGAACGTATCCGCAATCCCACAATGTATATACACAATCCTATTGCTGATCAGATCTGTTCTGCTCTGTCTTGAAGTTTTTAAAGAACGTAAGACTTCCCTCTTAAGAAATCGATTAGTTTGGGTTTTTATTTAACACAATTGATATTTAATTCTGGCTGCACGCAGATTGTTATTATTATATATTTCTTTATTTTCGTAGTTTCTTAGTAAGATTCTTATTTTGGCTTATTAAAATTGTATAACAATCAATAAATAAACGTGTAGGTGATCGTAGTTGTCTACAGGGTATCTCTTAGTCGGGCACATCTGACTAAGGCACTTTTTATTGCTTAATTTAGAATTTGCAAAGAGAATAGGAAAAAACAGCGCAGCTTAAACAAACAGTTACAATGGGATTAAATAACATAATTGCAAGCGGATTGTGGCTCCTTTTTGTGTACACCCTGTATTGCCATAAAGATATATTCCATCTATAAGGATATATATATATATATATATATTCCTGAGTGGCACAATAGAGATATTCTTTAGTCTGAGTAACTTCATAGCTATGGAATAACATAAGCATGTCAAGTTTGTCATATATATAAGACAGATTTAGAGCCAGGTATCTGCAATTATCAAGTAGATATATAGGATATATATTCCTGATCAGTCGAAAACTAGTCTTGCAGACTTAAAGCTTAAAGCATATAGTTCTATTACTTCCAGAATGAGTTGAAAACTTCTTATATAAGCTAAAGCTCGCATACAGTTCTATAATCTCTAGTATTGCTTAAAGATACATATATTTGTAAACTACTTTGCTGTTTGACAAGATATTCAAGATGTTAAGCATATCTGCAACGCTAGCTCCAATCGGACTACTACATTATAAAAACTATATCATAGATCGAAAGTAAAGCTCTTTCCATGACAGCACAGCGATGAGAGATGTCTATTAAGTTCCATCTGTCTGTCTTCGCTGCGTTCTGTCTGGTTCTTATATGATATGTGTTTATCCCGATTCTCGACTCATCTCTTACGCTTGTTTATTAGAGTTGCCTAAAGGAAGATATGTAAGTAGAAACTGTTGAAAACAGATGCATGTTTTGTAGGGTATTCTCTTTTGATATCGTATTTATAGGTATTTGTTATCGTTGAATCGTGACAGTTGCTCTATAAAAATGATATTTACATTTGGCTGTGGCACAAGCGGAACAGCAGCTGTTTGGCCAAGTTCCTGGAATGCGAAATCTATTCGTCTAGCTAAACAAGCTCGTTAATGTTGACTGTGTGTGGGTGTACAACAAAATGAAGTTGTGCGTACGACTGGCACAGACGCGCCACCGCGCCCGGTGCAAGTAACTCAAGCTGCCACCAAGCTGTTTGTGGTGCTCGTGTTTACAGCTGATTTTGCTGCTGCGGCTGCGGCTGCCGGGACGCATATAGATTTCGATATCGTTTCTAGCCAGCTGCCCCGGGCTGTGTTGCGTACTGGCAGACGGCCGTCTACAGGTTTTGCGGTGGTGTCGCTTTGTTTATGCCAAAGGCAGCGGGCGAGCCGAGACGAGTTGTATTATGTGCAAGAAAATATCAGAAAATACTTGTGAAAAGCGCCAGGCGAGTCAAGAGAGCGGCAGAGTGGGAGAGTGGCAGCGATACGGATCGGATCGGATCGGATCGGACAGTACTTACGGCTATAGATACGACGATAAATACAACAAAATCGTGAAATGCTCGAACACTTTTCTACATTTTGTTATCTTGGGCACATTAACCGTTTGCGTTTGGCATTGCACGCGTCGCTCTTGCTTTTCCAGCAAATCGAATTCAATTTCTTATCAACTTGGGTGTCTTTTCTTTTTCGTTTTCGTTTTCGTTTTCGTTCTCGTTTTTCTTGCTTTAATTTCTTTTTGTTCTTGCGTTATCCGGGGCGTGCGCGCAGGCAAGAGATAACAAATGACTGGCAAAGGCAAATCGAAGCGTCGACTAACAACGGTGAGCGTTGGGCGAGACGACAACAACAAATAATTGATAAAAAAAAAAAAAAAAAAAAACAACGAAAAATAAAAAGCAGACACGTAAATCGTGTTGAGCTTGAGCAAGCATCAAGCATCAGTTAAATATATGTATGTGTTTATAGATACAGATATAAAATCAGAGCCGGGCGACAGCAGCACGAAAAGCTGCAATTAATTTGCAGCCATTGCTCAAATTGTATCTCAATCGCATGCCAGACAAGCCCCAACATCCCAACGCCCCGCCCGCCCACGCCCTGCTATGTATCTGATAGTAATTGCATCTTGCATCAGTTTGCCAGTTGCGCTTAATTGTGTTTGTGTTTCCTTAAATATTTATGTGCGTGTTGCGTGTCTTGTGCTTCCAGATTGTGCCAGTGACTGATATTCTGCGTGCCCAGCAAATCCAGGAGGACAACGAGGTGCAGCAGTCCCAGCAGACGACCATATTGCAGCGCTTCAAGAGCGCCTCCATTGGCAATCTTGTCGATCTGCCCGGCGAGGATGACAAGAAGTCCATCAAGAATCGCATGCGCATGAAATGTAAGTATGGTTGTCCGTGTTCCAACTTAATAATTAACTACTCTATACTTATGATAAAAAGTACTCTCGATTAGCTCTACTTAAATGCTCTTAACTCTCAGTTTAAGTATTTAAAAAGAAAGATAGAGAGGCGTACTGGTTAAAAGAGGGATAGGTAGGGGTAGTTGGAGCGGGGGAGAGAAAGTAGCTAATCATAGTAATCGTAGTTGTATGCAGGTCCAGTTGACTTCGTGTGGCATGTCCATCCAGTTGTCAATGAAAACGTTTGCATTAGAAAGAAAGAGAGCGAGATGGAGAGAGTTAAAAATAGTAAAGAACAGATAGAGATCGAGAGAGAGAAATACCCTACATAGATGAAGTTCAAACATTTTCGATATACAGTATGTCAATAAAGTGTTTTTACTAACAAAAAAAAACTAATTTTTTGGGTTTAGTTGAAAATAAATGTACCTAAAAGTGAGAATTTTTTTTCAATTATAATTTATTTCGATTCTATATTTCTCCTAGAACTTAATGGCAAAAAGAATTGTTAAATAACATTACCCAAACATTTTATAAAATTAAAAAACTAAAAACATTCACATTTTATGCTGTCAATAAAGTGTTTTTACAGCTACGGTAAATTGTTTTGCCGTTCTCTTTTGGGTGATCCCGTTAGATTTGGGCCCATGCGTTTTGGCTTCTCTTGTGTCTTCGACTTTTCTTGTCATTTTCTATTGCAATTTATAACGTTTTGCTTTAATTTTATGAAAAATAAAATGCCAGGAAAAAGAACAACTTTTGAAGTCGCTCAGCTGGTGTATTATAACCATCAGATGGGACGTCAAGTCTCGGAACTGGCTGATATGTTTAATTTATCAAAAGCAACGATATACAACATATTAAACAGAGCCAATAAGGAAGATAGGCTAGAGGCAAAGCCAGTATGTGGTCGACCCTGCAAAATTTCTGACAGAGATAAGCGAAAAATTCTGAGAAAAATTGAGAAAAATCCACAAATTTCGCTTAGGGATATTGCTCAGGAGTTCAAGGAAGAAAGTGGTGTTGATGTGTTACATGAAACTGTCCGAAAATTACTGAATTCCAATGACTACACATCACGAGTTGCCAGGAAAAAACCTCTACTATCGGCGGCGAATATTTTGAAGCGGCTATCGTTCGCTCAAGTCCATGTAAATAGTTCGAACGATTTTTGGAGTAACGTCATATTCTGTGACGAAAGCAAGATGATGCTATTCTACAACGATGGGCCATCCAGAGTCTGGAGAAAGCCACTAACAGCGTTGGAAAACCGCAATATTATTCCAACCGTTAAATTCGGAAAACTATCAGTGATGGTGTGGGGGTGTATTTCGAGCAAGGGTGTAGGAGATTTGACCTTCATTGAGAATACCATGGATGCTAGACAATATCTGAGCATTTTACAGACACATCTCGTCAGTAGTGCACAGAAATTTGGATTCTATGAGGACAATAAGCCAATTTTTAAATTTTACCAGGACAATGACCCGAAGCATAAAGCTCATATGGTAAGAGTTTGGCTGTTGTACAACTGTGGAAAGGTGTTAGACACTCCACCACAAAGTCCAGATATGAATCCAATAGAAAATGTGTGGTCATATTTGAAAAAAAAAGTCGCAAAGCGGAGTCCAAAATCAAAAACTGATTTAAAAGCTGCTGTACTGGAAGAATGGCAGAAGATTCCAGAAACATACATACAAAACCTTATTGTTTCAATGAAACGGCGATTGCAGGCTGTATGTGACGCTAATGGCAGCCACACAAAGTATTAAAAAAAAATATTCCTGTTTTTTTAACATTGTTATTTAGTAATAAAGTTTCGTGTAAAAACACTTTATTGACAGCATAAAATTTGAATGTTTTTAGTTTTTTAATTTTATAAAATGTTTGGGTAATGTTATTTAACAATTCTTTTTGCCATTAAGTTCTAGGAAAAATATAGAATCGAAATAAATTAGAATTGAAAAAAAATTCTCACTTTTAGGTACATTTATTTTCAACTAAACCCAAAAAATTAGTTTTTTTTTGTTAGTAAAAACACTTTATTGACATACTGTAAGTATTTTAAAAAATATATTCCTGACTCACAGCCATGAAAACGTTTGGGTCAATCGGAAAATAAAAAAAAAAAGAAAATAAAAAAGAGGTGGCACAGAGAGCATGAGAGAGAGAGAGAGAGAAATACAGAGAGATAGTTCAATTTGACTTAACCCTGGTAAGTCTTTCATACATTTAAGAAGAGAAACGGAGAAAAATGGAGAGGGGAAGAGAGAGAGGCGGACACAGAGAGAGAGAGAGAGAGCGAGACAGATAGAGAGAGAGAGAGAGAGCGAGTGAGGCAAATACGATCTGCTGAGTTATTCCCATTCTTAATATTGGTCTAGACATTAAAATAATTGTCTCATCTTAACTAGAACTCCAGTATTGCTAGTTAAAGAAGCTCCAATGAACATGCCCAATTTCTGATCTAATCTGGCAGAAAGCAGTTTTACTTATATCCGAAATATATGAATTATGCCAGAAAGTATGAAAGTATGGTATGTGGATATGTGTAATATGTTGTAAGAAGTTAAGGCAAACTTGAGCTATATATATATAAGTATATAGCTGACATATGCTGCTCGAGTATGTGCTTTAATTAACTGGTTGCCAGCCAATTCGCTGGCTTTGTGGGTCAAAACATGCAACTAGTTAACAAGCGCCTTGGATCGGGCTTAAAGCGAGCTGACAGACGCCTCTGCTACGTGGTGGCCCGCTCTGTGTGGCAGGGCGCCCCGATGTCTGCCCCGTTGATAAATGCCAAGTCCAAGTTTCCCCACCAAATTGGTAACCAACAGCTTGGCCTTAAAAGGCGGCACATGCGCCCACACACACACACACACACACACACACACACTCGCACACACACTGTTAGATATAGAAACAGACAGCTTTGAATGGAATTGGAATTTGGAAATGCGAATGCGAATGCGAATTCGAATCATGGAATGCGGCTTGAATTGTTTGGTTAATGGAGCGCAGAGTTGGCGGGGGGCAGGGCAGGTTTCTTATGCCTCTCTCTCTCTCTTTCGCTCTCTCTATCTGTGTCTCGCTCCAACTCTCTTAATTTGTAGCTACGTCTGTTTTAGTTAATGAAAGTCTCGCGGGTTTCACTTTTTTGTACCTGTTTCTCCATTGTATGCAGGGGAATTACAGTGAGTGACAAAATGATTCACTGCGGGGAATCTTGGAAGTTGGGATTTATTTATTATTACTTTTTGTCAGCCTTGCCATTCCAGTCGCTGAGATTCCGTATGCAAAAACGCCCGCATGCCCAAACAAGGTGTATCGAATGCAGGCGTTAAATAATATAAAACTACAAATCGCAGTCCCAGTCGCAGTCGCAATAGCAGTGGGAATGGCAGTCGCCAATGCCAGTAGATATTCAGGTAGCTAACCGAGTTGTTTGCTGATAGTATAAATATTATCGTTGTGGGTGGTCTGCGAGTGCGAGAGAAAGAGGGAGTACGAGAGATACATAGAGCTAGACAGCGAGAGAGAGAGAGAGAGAGAGAGAGAGGGATGGATAGACGCTTTGCAGAATGTAGGCCAAGCTTTTAGCTGCCTTCACAAAAGTGCAATTTGATGCTAATCCCGTTTGCGATTTGTTTCCCTTTCATGTTGTTGCCAATGGGAATGCCGCACCACGTTGCATGCTGCAGTTGCAGTCAACAGCAATGTGTTTCGACTGTGAGTATCACTTATCATATACATATATCAGCCAACTAATCGCACCCATTTGCAGCAATCGATCGCCCAAGAGCGAAAAGAAATCGCGCACACGTCGCAGCCAAGTGAATAGCCTCTGCTTGGATGAACAGTCCAAGTATCCGCTGTTTGGCGCCCGTCTGAACGCCCTGGAGCTAAACATGTCGGACCATCCGTATGTGCCGCGTTTCGTTGTCGATGTTTGCGCCCACATCGAGCGTGCCGACTGCATTGAACAGGATGGCATCTATCGCGCGAGCGGCAACAAGCTGCTCGTCGATGAGCTGAAGCGCAAGCTGACCCACCTCTACGATCCACGCTGCCTGCAAACTGATGACATACACACGCTAACCAGCCTCCATAAGCAGTTCTTTCGCGAGCTGCCCGCCCCGCTGATCACACAGGAGGCCTACGAGCGACTGGGACGGTGTCTCACCGACGATGCCGCCATCGAGCGGATGCGTTTGGCCTTCGATGAGATGCCCGAACCGAATCGCTCTACGCTCCGGTTCCTCATCAAGCATTTGACCAAGTGAGTGCCCAGCTTCATTGTGAACTTTAAACAGCTCATAGCTGTTATTAGAAAATAGGCCGAAAAAGAGAGAAAAAACTGCACGGAATACATACGAAGTGCCGCATAGTTATCATGAGGATAGATTGCTTTGCTTTCACTCGACTTCATTGTTAAAAAACTTTAAAACTTCGTGCAATTGTGACAGCACTACAATTAAATTAAACTTCATATAAGTTTTACAATGAACATGAGTAACATTTACAATGAACATGATGAGCCACAGCTCCAAGCTCCATAGAACTTCATGTTAAATGTACAATGAGCTTGAGTAGCAGCAATCTGGTAAAATTTCATGTTCAATTTACAACGAACATGAGTAACTCGATTTCTCAGCAATTTAAAGAAACAGCATGTTAGATTTACAATGAACACGAGTCGCTGCAGCTCGCAGATATCGGAAATAAAACTTCATGTTAAATTTACAATGAACTCGATTAGCCGCAATTCGACTGCAATTTACAGAAACTGCACGTTAAATTCACAATCCACATGAGTAGCTGCAGCTGAATGCAGCACATACGACAAATTCAATAAATTCTGTAGATTTCGGTTATTAATTTAACAATTTATTTACATGAACGCACAGACATTGTCTCGGACTAGGCATCAAGGCTTCCAAAATGTGAGCATCTGCCCGAGGCCAGAAAGAGCAGCATGTCTGCTCGATATCCGTGGCCGCACTCGGAGTCAGATGACTTGACAGTGCTTATAGTCTAATTGATGTATATATATAATTAGAGCAGCCGAGGCGCATCAACCAATTAGTTTGCTGAAATGTTAAACCAAAGAAGCAATAGATAATTACTTCGATTTGCATTAATGAAGCCTTTGTTTTTTGTCTGCCTTCACACAGCGTTGCAGCGTCGAGCAGCTCGAACCGGATGCCTGCCTCAAACCTGGCCATTGTCTGGGGACCCTGCTTGCTGGCTGCGAACGATATCAATTTCGATATCGGTCGAATGAATATGCTAGCCAAGGTGTTAATTGAGAACTATGACCGTATATTTCGTCCTGCTAATGAGCGACTTGTCTGTTAAATCTATATATACAACGGCAAAGCAACAGACAACAATTCCAAGGAAAACATCACACAAATTGTGCGCCGCATAGGAGAAGCGCTTTCAATTAATATTAATACACATTTTCAATCAATTATTGCAATAATTATTTTCTTTTTTTTTATGTGTCTTGCTACCTTCTTTTTTTTTTTCTGTGCTTATCTTAATGTTTATTTATTGTTAAACAAAATGTTCGAGACCCGAACATTTCTTGTAGTCGAATTCAGCAAACAAGCAAAATACTTACCAAAAAGACAGTAGACTAAGTTAATGCTAATTACTAGACGCATGTACAATATGATATATGCCGTACAGTGAACGCTAGCTATGGCGCACCACACACACACACACACATACACACACATGACTCACATATTAAGTATATATATTATTATACAAATATGCGTAGATATATTCTTGATTTACATATTTTTTTTTTTTTATATCTTTACCTTGGTTTTGACAATGTGACCAAATACTTAGAAGCATACTCTAGGCATTATCTATGCATAATGTTCATTAGCGATATATCAAAACAAATACATATACATGCACACATATACGTATATATAATTGCATATGTATATGTATATATTATATCATAACTGTCATGTGATAAGATTTGCCGCCGTAGTGTCTTTTTTTTTGTTTTTTTTTTTTAATGTCTCTAATATAATTAGCTATGTACATTTACTGTATACATATATATGCTAAAAATAATACAATTAACTAGCATTGTGGTTAGTTTTGAGAACAGCAGCAAAAGCCAAAATAACAATAACAACAACAACAACCACAAGAGTTGCATATGTTTAACAAATGCATATGTTTAAAATGTTTGCTATCTCAATAAATCTGACAAGTATTTAAAAAATTAAGAACTTTTTGCTTATTGTAAGATAAAATCTTTAAAAAAAATATTGTTGCCAATTCAAAAAGTACACATTTGCTGTTAGCTCGACTGCCAGCACATGGCTTCAATCGACTTTCTGGCTCTAAGTCTGGTTGTGTTCCCAACTTGACTATATATAATTCTTAATTTTATAAAATTGCCCGTTCTGCTGAAAATATTGCTAGTCGTAAATATTTTCATATAGAAATTGCGGGCTACATTAGATCTAAAACCAAAAATTTGGCACATATTGAATTTAGTTTAGTTAAATGCAAGTTTTATAAGCCGACTGGGTTTGGGTTCGGTTTATAGTAAAAAGTAAACTAAAGTTTGGACTTCACAGCGATTCGGCTCAATTCAATAGTAAGGTTTTAAAAATCGTAATTCAAGTTTATCATAGATTTAAATAACGAATACTCAAACTAGAAAACATGGACTTCAGCTTTAGCTTAGACTACGCGATATGGACTGATTCCTGGCTGGCATTTTCTTTTTCATAATTCATTCAAATGGATTCAAATATTCCAGGTAAGTTTTGATGTTTTTTCTTTAACTACTAAATAATTTTAAATAAAAAATATATATATTGTACTATACATTATTTTCAATGATTTTTGTTAAAATTCCCTTGAGAAGTATTTCAAAATTTTCCCAACTTGGTGGAAAGTGCGCTTCAAAGATTTTTAGGATATGTTTTAATAATAATATTATTTAATATTTCTTATTAAATTTTACATTTTATTTTTATTCAATTAATATAGTAGCTTATTATAAGTAATTATTTACTTTAAATTTAAATAACAGAAATAATATAATTATTATTTTGAAAAGTGAGGAGAAAGTCGCGGCCCTCAGCCCTTGATATGTAGCATAAATATTCATTCTTAAACAAATTTCAAATTCTTAAAGCAAAGTCGATGGCAAAGAGAATGTTAAACATCGCAAACCTGAGCTTCGTACTAGCAAGCGGCAGGTCGGCGGTTCAAGTCCAAGTTTTATTTGTCTTTTCAATTTGTTATGAGGCGCAAGGAAGAACGCAACATCAGGAACAAGCAGGCAACTGGGAATTATTTAAAAGGCATTTGGGTCGATTGGCAAATACAATTTGCGGTCCAACCAAATGATATTTAAATGCAAATGGCACATCAAAAGCAGCGGCGGCACCGGATGTGGCATATGCAGCTAATAATGTCGGTGGAGAAGTGCAAAAACTATGTGATCGAAGCTGGACTCGGAACTGAGTCCCACCCTCGCTTGGGAAGGAGCATTCCGTTGTGTGTTCAGGTTTTTTATTTTCATTTTTTGAGGCTTTGGCAAAACCGCAAAATACAATTTTCCAAGCAAATCATACGTAAACTTTTCGTGCGACTCCAAGACTGCGTGGCTGGGGCAGCGGCAAGGGCAGGGGCAGGGGCAGTGGTTAGCCAATGTAATCAGCCGAGCATCTGACGTGTCCCTTCATCGGGCACAGGACTTTGTTGCTGAAGGCGCAGGACACATGCACATGATGGCAACGCCTTGGCGACACTGAGGCCGGGCAAAACTTATGCTGGCCAATCAGCCAAAGGCAAAGCCAAAGCCACAATCCGAAAGACAGTTCCAACTCACAATTTACTGGCTGTAAGTAAAGTCCAAGCAAAATTACAAATTATGCAGAGGAAGTTGCAAAGTGGGCGTTGCGAAAAGTGCCATCAAATGAAAGGGTCAGCTGGGACATGGGCCAAGTAAATTGATCCTGCGACAAATAGTTGTGCACAACAACAACAACAACAACAACAAGTGCTGTGAGGCGGACGTGACCCAAATGCAATTATGAGACACAAAACAAAGTCCGCATTTAATTGAGAATGCAAATTGAATAAACATTTGCAACTTGTAATCAAGTTAGCCGACGAAAAACCGGGCTAGTACGAGCATATGATGATGGCCCAATGATGATGGCCCGGCCAAGACAGTTGGCTTATAATTCAATTTTTGCTGCTGATGGGCAAACCACAAAGGACTCTTAGCGCCTGTGCATCAGCAGCAAGGATTCCCTATACACTTTCCAATTGGCTTTGCTTCTTATGCCCTTGCCAAAAGGGTATTCGATTTACGTTATCAAATGTGTAACCCTGATCCAATTCAAAAAAAAGAAAGTTCTTCTTTTGAAAAACTGTTTTGATTCTCTTGATTTTCCTACCAAAGATGAACATCAATTTTTTGAACTTTTAACAAACCCATTAGAGTTTTTTACCAAAAACATTTCTATTCATATGTTTCCCAAATTAAGGCGAACATTTTTTGTTATTACGGCTCAAAAAAAGCTAATGTCTTACTACTATATAATATAACTCCCATAGGAACAATCGGTCCGATTAAAGCATTACCCCTACTTTGCCAGGCCATTCGCCAGGCAGGGCATTCAATCTTCGGCCTTTTTGCTACTTGAATTTGATTTTCAGTTTTGAATTTGAGCTGCCAATTTGCTGGCCATGTTTTTCGGTGCATAAAGCCTTTGCTTAGTTGGTTATGATTAAACTAATATTTCCAAAAGAATTTCAAGTCAAGTTTCGTCTTCAATTTATGACTTATGCTCGAATATAAATTGTAGGCACTATTTGTGAGCTCTGGCCGTGTCGTTAGGCGAATGCACATGACTTTATCCTTTAGTTATCACAGAACTCATTCGGGCGCACACATTGGCCTACAGGGTATCAGCTAAGTGAGCATGCTCGACCAGATCTAGCGGCTCTTTAATATATATATATATTTGTTTTGAGCTTTTTTTTTGCTGTTCTCAGCAAATAAATTTGGAGATTTTATTGCGGCCAAAGCAGTTGACTGCAGAACAGTAACTGGAGTCCAGTCGTGGACTGAGTGGAGCGGAATTACTGCCAGCAGTAAGAGCAGTAGCAGCAGTAAGGCGCAGCAGTAAGGCCTGACCACTGGAACGTGCCTTAACTTATAAAATACTGCAAGATCCAACTGCCAATTGCAGGGGAACATGGGTAGCAAAAAGACAGGCTCTAGTCGAAAACAAGATACTCTTTATTGTTTTTCATTTTTATTATATAATTAATATTTATCGAATAAGTATATACTTTGGAATATACTTATATATATATATTAACTTGACTTTAGGCAAATTTAATCGAAATATTTTCTGTTTCGTTCATGAATTATTCATATATAAAATATATATGACTTACATTTTAATATGAATAGTAAATATTATTAATATCTTGTTCTGCTTAGTTTTTTTTTTCTTTTAAATATGAAATATCTTTACAAATATAGAATTTTGATTGAAATCTTTATAATATAAACAAATTAAGTTGAATTAATCAAATTTATTAATTAATTATAACCCAAAAAAAAATTTAGTTTCGCGATAGTAATACTATTTATATTTAATAATGCCATAATATTAATTATAGTTGCAAATAATAGAGCCGAGCAGCTGTGTCTGGTAACATTTTCATCACGCATAAGCTGCGTTACAATTTTTATGACAGAGTAATGAGATCTTGAACGTAAGCAACCACAGCAGCAGCAGCAGTAAGAGGAGCAGCAGCAGTAAGTGGAGCAGCAGCAGTAAGAGGAGCAGCAGCAGCTGGCAGTGAAGCTGTGGCACTTGTTGTTGCCCAAGTGGTTGCTGTTTGGGCTTGAATTTGCCAGGACTCTTGACGTGGCTAAGGGCCGCCACCTGTTGGTGAGAGGGGGTTCGCAGAGGGAGGCAGTTGTAGCCTCAACCGCGCAGTTTCTTAATGCGTCTACATGCTACAAGAGGCCACAGCCAAGCACTCGACATTAAGATGCCGGCAATGTGTAATAACTGGCGCCGGAATAAAGGGGCCCAGGCGTGGCTGGCGACTGAGCGTTGGCTGACAGGACGCTGAGCTGGCAGCAGTCGAGAATGTGACAGCGCTGAGCCCATTTGACACAAGCATAATATAATAAAAACCGCAAACAAGTAGCGTCAACCGGCACTGCCCACTCCGCCGACCCTGCTGACTATCCACTTGGCAGAAGACGCAGCGAATCCATTGAAGTGGATCGGACCTCGACATCAGCGGCGACTGCAGGCTGAGGTCCAAGCGGATAACCGCCAAGGATGTAAAGGGCCATGAAAAGGCTGACTCTGAAATGATGTCGCCTGTCTGTTATCCTGAATGGGCCTGGATCGGCCTGGACTGGGCTTAAGCTGGCCCCGGCTGGGCTGAGGCTGGCCCGTGCCAGGGGTGTGGGCGTTAGCCTTTAGGCGTGATTAAGCCACAAGTGCGTGACATTTTAATGCGACATTTATGCCCAAGACAAGAGATTATTATTGAAAACGCGCCGCTGCAGTCGCGTGACAACAACAACACCAAGAACAACAACAAAAACAACTACAACCAAATATAATAACAATGATAATAACATCAGCAAGGATAACAGGAGCAATGGCAAAATCGTGAGTTCCTTAATACCAAGCCTCGCAGCTTATTTATTTATTTTCCCATTTGACACCCAAGTGACACATTGTATCTGACAGAGAGAGACAGACAGACAGACAGAGAGAGAGAGAGAGAGTGTGGGAGGGTGAGTGGGCAGCATCGGGCAACAGGAACAGGAAGTGAAACAGGACATTGGCGTCATTTTATGCGAAGCCCAAGTTCTGTTGTTATTGCCACAGATTCTTGCCCTGGGCCATTGGCAATTTCCCCAAGTTGAACAAAAGTAAATAAAAAGCAAGCATAATTATAGCGAAAAGTAAAGAAAACAAGTACAACTTTTGCAGTCAGGCGCCAGCGACTGTGCAACACTCGTTCACAGTCCGAAAGCAGCTTTAAACTGGCTTAGTTTACGAAGAGATATCGGAGTATATAATATTTGGCTTTGGCCTATTATAAAACAGTTAACATATCAAATTTTGGCACGCTTTATATGTTTTTTGAATAATTAAGAAACTTTTATTAGACTAATGTGCGGCATTCGCAGTTATCCGATGTCCCCTTTTTATACCCTGAACCCATTAAAAATGGGTATAAGGGTATATTGTATTTGTGCAAAATCCAAATGTATGTAACAGGCAGAAAGAAGCATCTCCGATCCCATAAAGTATATATATTCTTGATCAGCATCAATAGCCGAGTCGATCTAGCTATGTCCGTCTGTCTGTGTGTCCATCCGTCCGTATGTATGAACGCAAGGATCTCAGAACATATAAGAGCTTGATCGATTTTGTTTCCGATAATCGATAACTTACTCCGCATTCTGTTTTTTGGGCCATTTCGATAAATAGTAAGAGCTAGAGTCACCAAACTTGACATATAGCTTCTAAAATAGAATATATATTTATGCATTTGATGTTGCAAGAAGAGGGTTGAGGGTATCCCCTAGTCGGGAGCTCCCGACTAGAACCTCTTACTTGTTTTATACTTCAAAGAAGCCTTAAGGTAATACATATTGTTTATCACCAGCTTGGCATATATCCATTTTATTTAGATATGTGAAAGTGTTTCGGCTTGGACGAAATTTGAATCGATTTGATCCTTTTAATATCTGATTTCTATATCATATATGTATTTGACTTTCAAAGAGTACCTGAATCAAACATTTTAGAAAACTCTTCAAATTAATTCAATCTATAAAACTTTGAAAATTTCGAAAATATTTGCATTACTTTTACCAAAGAAAAAACTTGCGGAAAGTATGTTTAGTTAGTTAGTTAGTTGGTAAATTTAGTTAATATTAGCCAATTTCTTAACATTTAAAAGAAAGTAATTTATTTTGTGTTTATCAACATGAGCATATCAAATATCGCATGTCCGCCAGGGTATTTCAATTCTGGCATTCCTCAAATCATCGAACGTTTGCTGCTTGTGTTTAGGTTTATCCAAAATGACAATTTAATTAAATTCTTTGGAAATGCTTTCGCCTTTGTTGAGCTTCGCTTTGTTGTCTTATTACAATCCAATTTTGTGCAAAAGTCACAAATCGCAGCTCCCTCCGACAGCACGGCATATGTGTATATGGCCAACCTGAAATTTGTCCAGACAGACTGGCCCGAATGGCTATGCAGCTGCCCTGCCAGTACCGCCCACCCCGTCCACCCCGTTAACCCCTGGCCTGCTGCTGGTGCTGAATTAAAATCAAAATCGTAACATGTCAACACATTCATATTTTGTAATGCAGAAAACCAACCAAAAATCATAAAAGTCAGCCATGCTTTGTCAAGGGGGAGAGTGTCTGGAGAGGTGGTCGAGAGGGAATAGTAAGGGTTGGGGGGGGCGAAACAGAACTAAAAATACAAATGCAAATGAATGTGGTTGCCCGTGGGCGAGGAGGGAGGGGGGGTGGCGAAAGCAGCGGGGCGCATGCCGCTGAACGGGTATGTCAGTTGCTGCTGCCAGCACATAAAAACTATGCAAAGAAATGCTGTGTGTGTGTGTGTGTGTGTGTTAGTTTTTTTTGTGTGTTTGTTGGCGGTATAAAAACATAATAACAAAGTTGGCGCGTTGCTTTTATTGCCTTACGGCTGCATTTGGGTTTGTGGCTGTGCCGACAGTAAAAACTATTTGCACGCACACACACACACACACACAAGCCAAGACCGACACCCACACACCCACACACACTCGCACACACATGAGGCATGTTTACAAACAAAATGCCAATGGACACAGATGCCATGGAGTGTTGTCATATCAGTGCTAAAGGTTGCCGCATGGCGCTGAAAAGTATGCACTGCCGCAGCTTGCGGATGAAGCGGGGAAGGGTGGGTGGGTGGTTGGGTGGTTGGGTTGGCTTGATGGTTTCTTTTTTAGTTGCAGACACTGTTGCCACGGTTGACCTCTTGCAACTGCCAAGCCGCATTGTACCGCTGGCGTTTTCAAATTTCAAATTCAAATGCAGTTTGCATAAAAAACGAGTCAAAGACATAACGCCCCACGTGGCGCCCCCTGCCGGCCCGGCTGCACAATATTATTATTTTGAGTGACTGTGCCGGCTCCTGAGTTGGCTCCCTCCCACTCCCTCCCACTCTCTCTCTCTCTCTCTCTCTCTCTCTCTGCACCAGCAGAGCCACACAACAAGTGACAATAACAACAAACGGCGGCGATCCTGCCCATCATATCTTTGGCCGCCAGAGGGCGCTTCATGGTCGCGCGCCAAATCGAAAATGAAGCAAAATTGCCAAAGATGCCACGTTTGGACAGCAACAGCTGCCAGCTTGCTAGACCTGGCATCAGTTATACATATCTATGTGTGCTGTCCAGAGTGTGCATGTGTGCGCGTCTGTGTGTGTGTGTGTGTGTGTGTGTGTGCTGACTGTGTTTGGTTAAATGGATTGTTTACTTTGATTACAAAAATATGGCAAATGTTTGCACGTTTCATGGCTCGCAGTGTGCGTGTGTGTGTGTGTGCGAATGAGTGTTTGCTAGAGATGAGCAAACACCGTGATAGATAGATTGTCTATACCACCTGACCAACAGGTAACAAACTAAAGTAAGGATAGGAACTGTGTCCTTAATTCAGGTTATTATGCGCTTATAATTCCCAAAAAGTGTATGCATAATATAAGTGTGCTAATTTTTATTGATATTTTGTTGATAATGTTAAAAAAATTGTTCACATCGTAGGCAAAATATAGTTATTATTATAAAATTATATATTTTTTTAATTCAACTTTAAACAAAATACCATAAGTAATTAATTAATTCAAACTGTGAAGGAACTTACAAACGAAGTTAACAACCTTAAATTATTCTCTGAGTAGCCTATTTAAATGTGTCATTATTATTGAAGTGCTCTGTTTCTTAGCTCGCTCACCTACATCGCTCAAAATCATCAAAATTTTAGAAAATACCTTATTTTCCCTTGACTGTAATCTCTGTGTATATAAATAGCTCTCTTGGCCGGACGAAATTTCATAAAACTATCGAAAGTGTTGTGAAAATGATCAGTGTGGATAGTTTTGCAACACTGGTAGGAATATTTTCATGCATATTTATAGTAACCATTTCCTTGTTTCATATTCATATCATATACATATAAAGCTATATATATATATTTATCACGCGCTCATCTCCAATGCAACAATTGCAATCGCAGCGCCATCCGCACACGTGGGTCAAAGGTGGCGCTGTGGGGTAATCAGGGTTGTGCAGGAGCACAAAAAGACAAATGCCGCTTGATGCTGCGCGCTTGTAAAATCCAAAAGCTAACATTATTGCAAAAATCTGCTGGTACACATTTGACTTTGGTTTATTTTTATGATATCTCAGTGCAGTCCCAGCCGGTCGCTTGTTTCGGGTCGGGTTTTTGCCATAGTGCGAGCGAATGCCAGGTGCAACAATGGAACCGGTGGGTCGCAATGAAGCGACTACATTTCAGTTAAAAGCTGAATAGCGAAGGGCTCGACGGCATGAGATAGTTTTTATGACGTGTTCGACTGTGAGCAATGTTTGAAGTGGGGCAATATTCAGGAAGCGGTCACAATAGTCTGATAACAAGCAAGGTAGATATGTGATAAGAAAGGTGAACGCGAAGCATGACTTAAAAAGAAAATGCTGAACGCTCACGAAATATTTTTGAAACTATAAAATTTGTTATTTAAAGAGCTTCAGAAGAAGAAATTGAAAAAGAAAGCTAGCTGATCAGATTATATCAAAACCCTAATGGAATATAGAAAGAATAATTTATATATATTTTGACAACTATCCAAAGAGCAACAGATCGTTAGGAACAACAAATAACATATTGTTAAATGTAATGTCAAGCCAAACTTATTATTGTTAAGCCAAACACGCTTTAGCTTTGTTTCCTGATTATAGCCCAACATTTTAATTTCGACCATTTAAAAGCGAATTTATAACAGAAATTGATTAAATTGCGTACATGGCCCAGACCAATTGGCTAAATCATTTATCACACGGTATTCGCGCGCTCACATCATGCACACAATTCTCCCAACCGCCCACTTTTTTGCTCTCTCCCTGCCCTTTTTTTTCACATCAGATTGACCCGTATATTTGCATTCATTCAATGTGTGCACTGGCAAAATTAATTTGCAAATAATAGAAGGGAACAAGTGAAGATACCCTGTAAACAGAACTGATGGGCTTTTATGGCAATATTTGTGTTTATTAGGAAGGAGATAAAAAATGGGGCGTATTCCGTTTGCATTTCGTTTCAACTGTTCTTTCTTGAGCAACTGTTTTTTTTTGTTTGTCCAAGGCTTAGATCCCAAGAGAGTTGACCTATAGGGTCTTCTATTGCTCTTCTATACATTCGTGCAGCTTAATATGCCCCCTTTCGTGCACTGCATGGGCATAGGGTATGCAAAAAAAAGGGGGGAAAATAGCAGAGTGAAATAACATTTTTATTAGCTTCTCTTTGTATAGCAGACGTCCAACTGCTACAATCACTGCGTGCCGGAAGACAGCCGAACGGCCACGCCCACGCCAACGCCCACAATGCCAAATAGTTTTACACTACGGCACTAGCATGTGTGCGTGTGTATGTGTGTATGTGTGTATGTGTGGGTGTGTATTTATTTTTAGTGAATTTGATTTTATTAATGCGAATTTGTTTGCCCAGCGCTGGAGCCCGGTGCCTTGGCCGCTGCCAGGATGTGTTTGTGCTTGTGTGTGTGTGTTTGTGTGTGTTTGTGCCCGGGTGGCCGCTTCGACGCTATTATGGCAGCTATTTGTTTGCGCACGCTGCCCCTCCACTTCCACCTAGCCGCCCGCCCAGCCCGGATCCAAGCAGCAAGCGCCAGCGGGCTGTAGCCTTAACGCCCCACATTGGTTGGCTAAGGGGGCGTATACGCTACGCTCGTATAATTATTCTCGCGCTCGGCGGTCTGCCCGGAGAGGACCACATGTCGCTCATGATTAATTGAAAGTTTCTCTCAACTGTTTCAGTATGTTTGTCCTTTGTTTTTTGGGGCGCTGCCTTATTGCCAAAACGCCATTGCCCATGGCCCTTGGCCCATGGCGTTTTGATAAATTGTCGCTGCCTTCAAATTTAAACAAATTTCTACGATTGTCGAGCGGTTTGCATGGCAAATGTCAACAAGAGTCCCAGCGACAGCAGCTGGACAGGATTAGCATATGTTTGCGCCAGAGCAATAACCTTTCGCACTGGGCGAATTCCCTTCTTTCTACTTATTTTGGCTCAAAACTGAGCACTTAGACGAGGTTCTGAAGAGTTCTACATCAACGTGTAGGAATACGTTGGACAACGTGGCTCAAATTCAGCTGTAATTTAAATTTCTTACATTTAAACATCCGAGAAAATGCGATGGGCAGGCGCGTGTTGGACTTGCTTGCAATATTAACATTGTACGCAGGCGACGCCGGGTAATTTCTATTATTATTTAATAGTCACAGTTTCTGAGCTACTGCTTTGTGGTTACAGTTTTAGAATCAACGACTGCAACTGCTGTGAGAAGATATGAGAAATTGGTCTGTAACTTTTATCAGCGTTCGCTGAGCTAGTTGCCCTGGTTCAATACTCATTAATAGTGTGTCGAACATGCACGACTTGTCGCAGATAAGATGCCACTTCAGTGGGAAACGCTATCAGTTGGTTAATGTTGATGACAGCACGAAGCCAGCGCCACGCCAGAACTGTGGGGCAGTGCCAAGATGTCCGAGCACAAGATCATACTGGAAGAGCAGCTGCATGATCGGCTGGTCTCTGTGGTGGGGTCTACGGCAAAGAAACGGGATGAGCTGCATGTGTTCCTGGGGGGCGCACGGCCCAGTGTCTATCGCCTGTCGCGGCGTCATCTTTTGATGTTTCTTTTGATCTGCGGCAGCTCCCTGATATTGCTGTACGCCTACTGGGACGTCATGATGCTCAGTGCAATGGGTGCAGGAAGTGATCTGGAGCCAAAAATGTCCGCTGGCGAGCCGCTGGCACTGAAGCTGGAGAAGGAGGTGCGTGTGCTCTGCTGGGTGCTGACCACGCCCAAGTATCACAAAACTCGGGCGGTGCACATACAGCGCACTTGGGGCAAGAGATGCAATAAAATCTACTTCATGACCTCGGAGCCAGATGATGAGCTGGAGACCATTGTGCTGACCAAGCCGGACAAGTACGAGGTTCTTTGGGGCAAGACAAAGGAGGCATTCACCTACATCTACGAGAACAAACTAGACGAGGCGGATTGGTTCATGAAGGCCGACGATGACACGTAGGTGAACCACTAAGTAAAGTAGTAAAGCAAAGTAAACCCAAGCGAACCATTTAGTAAACCAATTAATTGAACCGTGGTTGAATAACATTCAGTATTTATATATTCTTGATCAGGTTGACAGTAGGTTGTCTCTCTTTCTTAACCTCAATATCGTACTCTTTCAAACTTTTTATCCATCTTCTCTCTTCCTCTCTGTCCCTTTCTCCGTGTAGTTCTCTTTCCTTCTTGCTATCCCTATCTCTGGGTAACTCTACCACTTTATACTTTTACTATCTCTCTCCCTCAGATACGTATTTGTGGAGAATCTGCGCCACATGCTTTATCCTTACTCTCCGGACATGCCCATTCACTTTGGGTTCAACTACAAGCTCTTCAGCAGCCAGGCAAAAAATGCAGTATGTACCAAATGAATTCTAGAATTAGATTTCTCTTTCTCCAATCATCGCTCTGTCTCTTTCTTTTTCGTTGTTGCACAGTCGTACATGTCTGGGGGCAGCGGCTATGTGCTCAGCCGTGAGGCGCTGCGTTTATTTGTGCACGGCCTGAATGACAGCAGCAAGTGCCGGCAGGAGGACGATCATGCCGAGGATGTGGAGGCGGGCGCTTGCCTCTTTCACTTGGGCGTGCCCGCGGGCGATTCGCGCGACTCAAAGCTGCGCAATCGCTTCTATCCGCTGGCGCCCTACTCCCAACTTCTCTCCAAATACAATGGCATGGACTTTTGGCTGTTCAAATACGCCTATTACAATCCGCGAGCGGTAAGTCCAAAACATAGACTACTTCAGTTGTCCAATGGGCCTTCCTTCTTTAGTGCATGGACTGCCTTTCTAACTATCCGGTGGCCTTTCATTATGTGGCGCCTGAGGAACTCTATGAGTACGACTATCTGAACTATAAGTTTGAGCTCTTTGGGCGCACTCCGGTGGTGGAGCATCTACCGGAAAAGATTGCACCCGACCAGCTCTCTATACCCATATCCGACAATAGGTAATATAAGTTGACCTTTTTTCGGTTATCTCAGTTCCTCAAGCTAGTTCGCAATCTTTTTTTCCCTATTGAATATCTAGCACACATTTTTAAATTGATTTGAAATAAATTAGGGCAATTTGTGTGCTCAATTCAATCTTCATATAAACAAATGACAAGGGTTGAGAGTTACAATTTTGTACATTTTTCCAATATATACCAGTTGAGGTAATAGATGTACAGTAACAGTAGAAATTTCAACAATTTTAGAATATGGGAAATTCCGATTAACAGCAAGATAACATAGGAATATCGAGAGTGTTTTCAGCCTGAGCAGCCTGTTGATATTGTCTCTTTACCGATTAGGACCTGATTCATAATATATTTCTAACTGATTAATTTAAAGTCTCTCAAGCGAACTTCATAAAAATTAAAAGCTTTCAAAGCTATCTTCTTTAAATATTCAATGGCTACCATGAAGCCCTACGGTTAGCCTGGGTCTTAATTTACTTCTAATAAGACTCAAAGCCATTGCATAATTGCAAAATAAACCAAACAATTGAGATAAGTTTTACGTAGCCTTTTGTTTCCATTTAAAATCGAATTTTGTCCATCATTTTTGTTACATATTGTGCCAAAGTAATGCCGAAAGTCAAATAGGACTTGCACCAAAAACTCTGGGCTTCTTTGGACAAAAAATAAATGTGACTTTGTAAAATAAATTGGAATGCGACCCGGTGCTTGAAATGGCATCACACTGTGCTCGGCCAACCACATACAGGACGGGCAGTCCATTAGGAAGTAGCTCTGTGCAATGGTCATTAGGCGTTCTTATTAAGCTGGGTGGATGCAGCAGCAGCAACAAGCAGCTTGTGAGCTGTTGTCCAGGCAACAGGAGCTAAAAGAGCAACAGCAACAACCACAGCAAAAACAGCAGCAGCAACTGGAACTGGAATTGTATTCAAATGAAGTTAAGCAAGACGACCATAGCTTTGGGGATGATGTAGCTGCCCATGATAATGCTGGCCAAAGTCCAAAGCCAAAGCTGAGAGCAGTGTTGGCAACTGGCTCTAAAAAATATGCTAGCAGCAGTGTTCAAAAAGGCTACAAAAATATATATACTCAATCAGCAAGGACTCAATCTTGACAATGTTTGCGCAGTTACCCCTGAAGTAGCTGGCAAGGTTCACTTGCTAAAGCAAAGCAACTAAAATTGTTCAAATGATGCGGCATTCGGGCTTTGTAGTGTTGGTCACAGCTTTTTTAGTGCAAAGCTAGTGATGAGAAATACGTGAACGTTATCGATAGACGATAGGCGCAGCCCATGAGTACAGTTAAAATGTACGGTAGATCAGCTTAAATATAGCCAGCATTGCAGGCAGCCGCAAAGTTAAACACGCAAACGATGAACACCACAAATAGTCGATTTTGGCTGGAAAATAGCTGAATTGACAGCACTGAAGCCGAGTGCGAGCTGTCGGGGAGTGCGTGTGTGAGCAGACGCATTTGAAATTGCAAATTATGTTTTTGGCCATGGCCAAAACGTAGCGACGACAGTCAACAGTCAACAGTCAACGCTGCTGCCATTGCCAGTGGCCAGTTGAAGGAATTGTGGGCAATGGACGATTAACGATGTGCACGATGGATGCTGCCTGCCAGCCCGGCGAGCTCTGCCGAGCTCTGCTCTCGTCTGATGACGGGCTGCAGCGGCAACATCAAGAGCTGGCGACTGTCTGCGCTGGCAACGGAGCTCTAATTATGCAAACTACCTGCTGTTACTCAATTAATCTTGATTACGTTTGTGTTATCCAAATATAATTATGTTGGTATTAATTACATTGGCCAAAGCGACGGTGGCCAGTACTCCGCAGCCCAGCACTGGCCTAGGCGGCGGCTGCCTGGCAAGTTGGTCAATTTGTGCAGCGGAAATTGTCTGTTGCGCGCGCGTGTGTGTTAAAGCCCCTTGGCCTGGCACTAATAATAGCAACAATGTCTCGACCTGGGTATATCCGTGCCAACAATTCGATTGAGCCCACACATCGCCACGCCCCCTCTACACAACACACCACCGCCCAGGACGATCAGCAGCGTGAACGCATTAGGCCAAAGTGTTTGGCATTAGAGCGCCAACAGTGCGACCTCATCATAATCAATGGCTAAATTTCACGTGACTTTCACTCGCGGCTAATTAGGCGCTCAGCCAATTCGAGCCAAGTTGCGGCCAGGCAACGTCAAGGATAGCGACAACTAACTGGGTAAGTGTGTGCACACCTGCCACAGTTTGGCCAAGTTTTGCTCTTCTATTAACCTTAATGCAGCGCCCGTTTGAAACTTATTGGTCATGAAAAGAAAACTAGAACAGGAACTAGTATAGGTGCATAAATACGAACAAATATGCATTTGTCAGCTAACCTAACAACAATTTTCGACAAACCAAAGTTTATCGCTTTGATTCGGTTCATTAACTTGATTTTCCAATTTAATTTGTTTTGAGTTTGGCCAATTTCGATGTTTCGATTTATGTTCAACAACTTGTAGGAAACTCGACTATTCCGAAACATCAGTTCATAAATGTCGATATTATCTTACTCTAAGTTGAAATCGATCGATGAAATCATTTTGAAACACCGAACCAAATCATTTGTGAGCATATATGGCTCGTTTAAGGCTTAGGTTTCTTAATTTTTTTTTATTATTTATTATTATTTCGTTCCATATATTCATTATTAATATAAATATTATATCTGAACAGATAGTGCTTTCTACACTATTTTAAGCAAAGGGGGCAGAAACTTGGGCTTGCGGAACAACTTTGGGCGGGAGCACAATGGAATTTTCAATTATTGCAATTAAACGTGAAATATAATTTTCTTCTAAATATAAATTATTAAACAATGGTTAGAAGTAATTTGTCCGCCGCTTACAACTGGCATCTTGTCTCCGCTTAACTCGGCCGTTTCAAAGTATAAATATCATACAATAATTCTACAGTTAAATGAAAAATATATGCATGCATATATATTTATATATTTATTGGTTTTAACAACTGTGCGAAATATTTTTTAATTACGACAGAGATTGAATTTACTTGCAAGCCTTTCAATTTTCCGTAGCCTTGCTTTTAGCAATTTTGTGGCAAGGAAAAGCCAATTTCATTTGATCGAAAGTGCATTTTCATATTACAAGCTAGTTTGGAAAATATGCGTAAATTGAAAAATGCATTTGATAATCATTTTTGGGCAGCATCTTGAAATGCTTTCAATTGGTTCGATGTTTCTTTTTTTTTTTTTTTTTAGTTACAGAAAGAAAAACATCATCATTTATTCTAACCAAATGGCATCAACTGCAGATGGTGCAGCGGGTCATTGAACCGAAAACTATGTCATGCAGTTATAGACTCAATGGAGAAATACAGCAAGAGTGTGGGGGGGGGGGGGGAGGTGTGTAGACAGGGGTTGGGGGCAAGGGCGGGTTACATAAATGAGAATCGCTGTCGCATGTGTCATTTCGACTTCTAATCGTTCAAGCGTCAATGCAGGCGATTTATTTGATTTGCTTTGAGCGTGTGTTAGTTGGTGTCTGTGTGTGTTTGTTAGTCTGTGTGTGTGTGAGTGTGTGTCTGTGTGCTTAAAAAATTGTTGCCTGAGTGTAGGTGACTCTGGGCCACACAAATCATTTTCAGTTTGTACAATTTTTATGTCAACTTGTGTGTGTGTTTTTTTTTTCATTTTGCCCCAGCTCGTTGTTGGCTGTGCCACTTTTGTTTAGCTGATTCACATGCACACACAGATACAGAGACACACAGGCACACAGACACACTCACTTACACACACGCGCACACACCCAATCACACACGGCACACTTGCAATGCTGCTGCTCGGCTGCACTTCCGGTCTTTCGGCTGCGCCGCCATTGACTGTTCAACCATGCAGCTGCACACACACTCACGCTGCCACGCACACAGACACACTTTCACAGTCACACACACACACACACACCTATTCACACTCACTTGCCACATACTCACACACCCGAACAGTATCAGGTTCGCCGGCATATCCGGCTGTGTGCCAGGCATTGGACATTGCCGTTACTGGCAGCAGCCAACATCGCACTGTGGTTCGAAATCGCTTTGCATGGGCTAAAATTTACAAGGACAGATCAATTGAACAAAATTGCCAAATAAGCATTCGAAGTCTTAAATTTTAAATTAATATGTTAATATTCATGTTTATTAAATTATATTCGCTTTGATGTTTATATTTTTAAACATTTCTATTTATATATTCCCACTATTGTATTCATTTTATATTTCATTATGTATAAGATTTTATTACTTATAAATAGATTAGTTTTATAACATATAAGTGCAGTGTTCGATCCTTGTTGTTTTTGGGCCAAATGTTGAGTGCTTGTGGGACACTGTGCGGCGTTATTTTTGCCCTCTCTGGACTGTCAGCTTTTTCAGCTTCAAGCCATTGAAAAGTTCTCAGTTGCAACTGCAAATTATGTTGCCTGGTGTGTTGATTGTTGTTAGTGTAGTTGTTGCTGGTGTTGTTGTTATTGCTGTTGTTATTGTTGTTGTGATTGTTGTTGCTGGCAGCGCCTGATAATGGCACACAATGTTTATTTACTTGCTTTAACATTTTTGTTGCTGTTGCTGCTGTTGCTGTTCATTTTACTTTATTTTTCCATTGCCCCGTTGGTGCCGGCACCATCCAGCGTAGTCGGCGTGTTGCATGCAACATGCTGACAATGAGACACTTGAGCATTTGGCGCCTGATTGCATGCTACACTTTTACTGCACCGACAGTGGCCATCGTGCGACAGAGATAGCATGGTATTATGCTGCCCCTTCCCGCCAGCCGCCCCGCCCCGTCTCGTTCGCACGCAATGTTTGTCTGCTCTTCTGACTTTGACTTAACTTATTTGTTGTCTCTCTGACTCCCACGGCACGAGTATGTCTGTGTGTGTGTGTGTGTGTGTGTGTGTGTTAAGCACGCATACAAACGCTTGAGCTGTCCGGCTGTGCTGTCGCGCCGTCGTCTCGCTGCCGCTGCCTCTGCCTCTGCCTCTGCCTCTGCTGCTGCTGCTGCTGGCGTCGCAGTCTGCGCTGTAAAGTGTCGTGTTGGATTTGCGTAATTTATGCTCTATTTGCTTTTCGGCTTCATTTCACTTTTTGCTACTGCTACTTTTTGCAAAGTATTTTGAGTTCCCCTTACTGGCGTGCGTGTGTGTGCACGCTTGTGGGTGTACATTTTACAGTTGCTTGCGTTGGTCGTGTGAGTGGCGTATCCGGCGCTATAAGCCTTTTACAGGCTAACAACGACCTTGAGATCACCTGTAATGTTTGGTTTACGATTAAAGGGATTGAGAAGCGCTAGGGTTGCCGGGTTGCCCAATAAACACATGAATCTAGCATTTAACTGTGCTTTTTGACATTACTTTCGAATAGATCTAGCTAATCTCTAAGAGGTCCGGAAGCTGAGAATATGATCGTTTAGCCCTGATTTAGGATCTCGTTCGTTTGGATATGTTTTCACATTGTTAGACTGAAGTTTTTGTCATTAATTTTCATTTTGCATTTAAATTTGTA